TTCGCGTTAGGCTCCTCTATATGAAATGGGTGTATAAATACAACTTAATATAGCGAAGGAAATTTGGAACTTCTTGTAATGAAAATTATATTTGTAAACGTTTATGATTTGGAGCTTATAACGAAATTTTAATTATTATCGTTTATTGTTTGTGCTATTTAATAACATGGACAATGTTGCTAGTTCAAACAAACGATAAAATCAAATCCGATACATCATAAATCAATAATAATAATAATAATAATAATAATAATAATAATAATAATAATTTGATCTGAACTTATTTTTTCTGATCTGATCTGATCTGAACTTACTTTTTCTGATCTGATCTGATCTGAACTTAATTTTTCTGATCTGAACTTATTTTTTCTGATCTGATCTGATCTGAACTTATTTTTTCTGAAATAAGTAAAAATAAGGTGAACTAAACAGGGCCTAAGTCTGTTTTAGGCATTTTCATCTTCATTTGTTGTCTCTTTGGTGTTTTGGAGTCTTCTCTTTCTTTTCTAATTTGAAAGAAGGTCCACTTGAAATTGATTTCTTTGGTTGACTTGTTTCATTATCCTTGACTTCAGTATTTCTTTCATTGTCATCCTTATTATCTAATTCAATTGTTTTATTTTCTTGATTGTCAGTAGCTTCGATACAGCCTCAGTTGATACTATAGTTAATACTTATCAAGTATCTCGATCAACAACTAAAAATAATATAGTCAATTGATCAAATAATGGAAAATGAACATTATTTCATAATCCTTGAGCACTTTTGTGTCGCGACAATAAGAACACCAAGTAATATTAAGTCATTCAATATATATATATATATATATATATATATATATATATATATATATATATATATATTATTTATTGGGGAGGTTTCGCTGAAAACAAAGCTTATGTTGAAAACTAAAAATAAGCAATCTAATATTCATTAAATAATCTAATGGTGTAAAAACACCTATAGGATAAGGTAACTATATAGATATTGATAAAATTACATAGATGTCACTATATAAAAAAAAGGTAATTATATCAATTTGACAACATTTACATAAAGGTCACTATATATAAATTTAAGGTAATTATATTAAATTGACAACATTTATACAAAGGTCACTATATACAAAAATAAGATAATTATATTAATTTGACAACAGTTACATAGAGGTCACTATATATAAACTTAGGGTAATTATACCAATTTGACACCATTTACCTGGAGGTCACTATATATAGAAATAAGGTAACAATACCAATTTTGACGACGCTTACACAGAGGTCATTATATATAAAAATAAGGTAATTATATCAATTTTGACGATGTTTACATAAAGGTCACTATATATAAAAATAAGGTAACTATATTAATGGTGCCTATATGCAAAATTGCAAATAGTGGTCACTATATATAAAAATAAGGTATCTATATCATTGATAACTATATACAAATAGTGGTCACTATGTATAAAACAAAGATATCACTACATGTCAAAAAAGAGTTACTATATGTAAGCCTATGTAGGATTTGAACCTACATCCCATGTGTACCCGTGATTACACATTGCTCCACCAGTTGAGCTAATAGGCTTTTAACACACCAACCTAGGAAAAAATACCTCATCTTCGTAATTTATTTAGAATCATAATTTACTTTTAAGAATTCCAATTAACACCAAAAGCAACACCACAATTATTACGATGATCATAGATATGGGCACACATTGCTCTGTTGTCTCATCGTATTAGATTAAGTGTTGCAAAATATACTACTACAAGGAAAGCTGTAATTTTTCAATAACCATTGCTCTTTATTTTAATGTCTGGCATAAAACAATGCAACTATTTTGCACAACTATACCAATTTATTTTGATATCTAGCAATAATCCAGCATCAGTTATGTAGTATGAGCGTCAATTATATACCAAGCATCATTGAATAAAACTTTGAAATAGTACTGGAAGAAAGCTCATTTTGGTACCTTCCGTAACTCTGTAATAACATCTTCATTTTCCTTTCGACGAGACAAAAGCTGAGACTCAAACTCCACCCTTTCGGATTGTAAATCAGTTACAGCTGCATCTCACGCCCACAAAACAGCCACCAATTGCTCCACCAAAGCCCGACTCCAACATTAGCAATTCCACCCCTAACAATCAACAATTCAACCACGTGATGATTAAATTCCACTAATTTATAGAAATTTCAATCACACACAAGCACATTCAGATTCAACTAAAGAATTACTAATATGCATATAGATTATAAATACTCAAAATCCCCAAATTTAATTAGATTAAATTCGCATATATTAAAACTATTATAATAGACAAAAGCGCAATTTCATTAGATAAAATTCAGCAAACAACTCACAATTGCATTTGAAATCAAAAGAAAGTCAAGCAAAAATTATACATAAAAACCTAATCTACTCAAATTATGAAAAATATACATATATACATATACATATATATATATATATATATATATATATATATATATATATATATATATATATATATACAAATTAAGCTCAAAAACGCCATAAGAAGAAATTAAGTTGAATATATTTACACTCGTATGAAACTCGATTAAGCAAGAAAAAGCTCAAATAAGTGTAATTACTCCTACGAAACTCAAAAAATTAAAATCGAAAAATCAGTTTGATTTTCAGGAAAAAATAAATAGAAAATACAGAATAAATGAAAACTCACATTTCAGGTTCGACTTTGAAGCTTATAACGAATTTGATGGACATTGAAGTAAAGTCTCTGTAATTTGATGATTTTTTAAGGGAAGGAGAGAGAAAGAGTGAGATGAATTTATATGAGATGGAGGAGAGAGAAAAATAAAGTAAAAAGTAGAGGAGAGAGAATGGAATTCATAAATCAAGAACAAAAACCACAGTAAAAACGCGGATATAATCTCTTCGGTTGGATGAGAATTCAATGGTCCAGATCGCCTGTTTTTAGTTTTATACTTGTTTTCACATGATCCACTTCTTATATATATACTTCCTCCGGTTTTAGTTATTTGCAACAACCGTACCGGTTGCGGAGGCCAATGTAAAAGTTCCTAAGCATGATTATTGAAATATAAAGGCATGTACTTAAGCACTAATCCAATTAAAAAAAAACAAAAATTTATCAAACCACTAAAATCCAGAATCACCACCACCACCGAGCCCACCATAAACCACCACCCAGCCACCACCAAAAACCCAGTCACCACCACCACGACGAACCAGACCCATGCCACCCCACGAACCCAACCCACGCCACCCTAAAACACCCACCTTTCGAACCCAAAACCACCTAACCCACCACCCACAAGATGATGAAGGAGGAGAGAGAAAGTTAATGTTGAAAAGGATGAAGATGGAGAAAATAGATTACGAGGGAAGGGGAAGAAGATGATGAAGGAGGAGTGAGAAAGATAATGGGGAAGATGAAGAGATGATGAAGGAGTAGTGGCTGTTGGGGGTAGATCGATGATTCTGGAAAGATAAAAATAAGTTTAATTAGATTAGATTAGTTTTTAATCAATTATGTTTAAGTATGTAATTGATGTTATAAAGTTTTAAGTAAGGGTATTTTTGTAATTTCATTTAAAAAAATTACTAAAAATAGAAAGATTTGGAAATGTTGCAAATAATAGGTAGCACCCCTTTCGGGTAAATGTTGCAAATAATTAAAACCGGAGGAAGTATATAAGTTTACACGTATTAAATATTGTATAAATAGTAGAATAGTACAGACCCTGATTGTCTCTCACAAACAAGTTAAGCTTATGCTTCTCATTATCCCATGAAAACCAAAAGTAAGAAATATTTCGGTAAATAAAAAATTATACTTATCCTTAACCATTTGATATTCGGTTCAATATGTGGAATCATTTTCAACCTACATCTTGATGAAAAATTTTCCCATCTCATAACTATTCTTGAAATTACCATCGGTTTTCCATGCGAGACTAGCGCCATTTAACTCCAATAAACCACTGATCAAACGTCCTTAGTTTTATTTCATGATCACCTGTTTTTCCCTTTTCCACTGTGGGAACTTTGGCCAATATCCATCCTGCATGCATATTATTGATACATAAGAGCAAACAATGCAAGATTGTTCTACAAATAAGCTCTTGGGATATACTTATACATTATTATCCAAAAACACAATAATGAACAAATATTTTCATAGGAACAAAAGTTGAACAAATAGTTCTTTCGAAATATACATATTCATAATACAGTCCAAATTTAAGATAAACTAATAGAGGGGAAATTGACAAACATGTATGTGCAATTATTACGTCCAACTCTCCAATTGTTAAACATATGTAGTGCTAATAAGTTATTTCGATATGTAGTTTTACTAATTTAAACACCTAATGTCGTTATTTTATATTCAACTTCATCGATCATCAAGACCCTTTAATCTAATAGGCTTACTAATACCATCTCGAAGGACATGTCCAACATAAGCGAATCCCTCCCAACCAAGTTGCACGTACATGAACTTTAAAAAAAGGTTACCAACACCTAATATGAAAACGAGTGTTGATTTAACAATAATTTGACAAACGAGGTAGAGTTGCTATATTTTATTTTGTGATACCAGAGTAGCATGAAAACGAGTGTTGATTTAACAAATGATCAAACAAGCTCGATATGACATGTTAGTAGTTCCTTTGTGAAAAAAATCTATCATTTCCATCACTTTATTTCATAATGTAATTTCTTACACTTCATTATTACCTTTTCAAAATTCTCAAGGTGGCAAACAAACTAAAAAGAGGATTGGGTTGTACGAGCAAAAGGAGTTCCAAATTCCAAAAAAATTGGGCCCAATGGACCCCTAGTGGACCATAATTGAAGCTCATTAGAAAGAGAGCAGTACAGAAAACATGAAAAGAATGATTTGCACTTAAAAAGTTTTGAACCAGACATAGTACATACTTTTCGTCAATCACAATCACAACAATCTTACTGTCCTTGTTAACCTCTTTTTTGGGCTATACAACCAATTTTTAATAACCTAAAAACAATAGAATCATAATAACAAGTCAGAGAAAATAGTCTCAGTTGTCATCAGTTTTAAATTTCAAGCACCAAAATCCCACAGATGAATGGTTGTGTCACTAGATGTAGCCACGACATGTCGGTCGTTGGCCGCGACTGCGGTCGCCTCCTCTACCCACTCTCTCAAGCTGTACAAGTACTCTCCATGATCAGCATCCCATACTCTCATTGTACCACCAATGCACATTACTACATACATGCTATTCATGCATCCTAGCAATCCCATTAGTGATGATGCTTGTGCACCTCGGTGTGACACTGAGAATCGACACACCTCCTCGAGTGTACGCAGTTGTCGTACACTTGCCACCCCACGAGTGTCTACCATGACAAACGCGTTGTCGTTGGCATCAACCGACCCCACGATTATCCCTCGTCGAGATGCCTCTTGCCCCATCACCATCACTGCCTCCTCTAGGTTTAGCACCAATGCTCTAAGACTAGTAACTCCTACTGCCACCCCTTGAGGTGCCACTCGAATGCGGCCCAAGAACTCCCTAGGTTGAATTCCGGTAAGCATGTGCCACCCCATCACGGAATCCGGATCGGTTAGCGATCCACCCCTGAAAAGAAGCTCCTCAGAGTCTGCATCCCAAACTCGAAACGCCCTACCGGGGACACCCGCGTAGAGCCCAACCCAAAACCGATCACCACCAGTGAAGTCAACTAGGGCACCATCATTGACAACATCTCCTAAGTAAGCCCGACGGTCCGGGCCGGGCCCGTTGAGAGGGGAAGCAACATGAATATCGCCATCAAGCGAGGCAAACACGACCCGATTGATAACATGAGGCTGTAGTACAATACCCGACACTGCACGGGAGAACAAGCCAAGGCGATCACGTAGCAAAGGATGAACGGTACGTAGGTGAACCCGGGAAGGAAGGTGAAACAAACGCACCGACCCGTCCGAAAACCCTACAGCCAAGTGATCATCAGCAAGGGCAATGCGAAGACACAAAAGAGGGAGTTGATCAGCATCACCACCACCCTCATCACCCCCTTGCGCGGCAGCTAAGGGGTGATCAGAAAGGCGAAGCACAAAGTAATCGTAACGACTAACACGAAAATTACGAGACGTGCGATGGAGACTGATGAATTGCTCACGCCAAGTAGGGTGAAGGAGGTTAGTTGAGTTCCAAACAATGCGTACGAGATTCTGCCATAGCAACTCGGAGCGTGATACAGCTCTCCATGTCGTGCAAACCTATGAAATGTCACATTTTAAAGTACTATATTATTGACACCAAATAGATAACATAACATAACATGAAAATGACATTGTATGTCTATGTCCTATATGCAGTGTATGAATCTAAGGTAAGGACAAAAAAATAATAGTTGTACAACAGTAAGATTTTTTCATTAGCTTGTTCTAATTAAAGTAATAGTCCAACCATTTTTGTATTTTCAACAAGCCTGAATGAACTCCTCTCCTTTTCATGTATTGTTTTATATTTGTCATGTTCATGGATAAAACAAAGAAAAAAATAGATCTAAAAGACTAAAATTATCCATGTTAAGCCCTAACAAACAAGGTATGATTGGAGAATTTTTTATAATTTGTTTTCTAAAGCAATTTTCAAAAAAATAAAAAAAAAAAAAAGAATTTTTTTTGTTTATCAGCCTTCTAGTATGAAAGCAGGAAATCCTAACCTATAAAGCATACTCGATGCAAAAAAAATTATAAATCGAAATAAATCTAATATGGTCATGCAATATTCGGGTTTTTTTTTTTTTTTTTTTTTTTTTTTTTGGAATATTTTAAGTGGGACAAAAGCAAAAGAAGAGAAGGCATATCATTAACACAAGACAAAGTCATTTTCAAACTCCTTAGAAGACCTAATTGAACAAATTTAGTTAGATGTCTGGAAGAGAACATCTCTGAACATACATTGCACACAATTGAGTTGCAGTTTTTTATGCACCAATAGATTTTGTAATATTAAATACATTCAGATTTACAGTCTGCATCAATTTATTAGTCCTTGTAACACTGTATTCTCACGAAATAGGTTATTACTTGGAATTCAAAAACATTTGCTTACTCAGATCATTAATATGGGTATTGTGATAGATCTTAAAGTTTTTTTTTACTTTTTATTTTTTTATTATCTTTTACTTACTGCACAGTTTCAAGTCATACACTCAAGGAGTAATTAGAAAATGTAAACGAATAATTTTATCAAAGTAATTTTTAATTTTATCAATGAATGTAGGGTAAGTAAGATACTAGCTATGTGCATAAATTATTGTAATTATTTTTTGATACTTCGTGTAATACAAGTATAAGAAAATTGTAGTCAAAGTTATTATATATATAGAAAAATATAATTTTTGAATTTTTTTTTATTAATTTATGTATACATTATTTAATACTCCCTTCATTTTTCTTTAGAATCTTAAGAGATTCTAATGAAAATAAAATATAATATTTTAACTGTTTTCTATACATCAAAACATAATTATGTATCAATGAATGTAGGGTAAGTAAGATACTAGCTATGTGCATAAATTATTGTAATTATTTTTTTATACTTCGTGTAATACAAGTATAAGAAAATTGTAGTCAAAGTTAGTATATAAATAGAAAAATATAATTTTTGAATTTTTTTTTATTAATTTATGTATACATTATTTAATACTCCCTTCATTTTTCTTTAGAATCTTAAGAGATTCTAATGAAAATAAAATATAATATTTTAACTGTTTTCTATACATCAAAACATAATTATGTAGGAACTAGTTAGATTCATTTGGAATTTTAATCACCAAACATGTAATTATTAAATTTATTTTGAAATACATATCTAGAGATAATTAGATTACAATATTGTATTGAAAACGTATAGGTACCAAATGTGTTAAATATTTAAATTCGGAGAAAGTAGTCAAATTAGTGTATTAAATTAAATTAAAAAGTAAAAATGTCAAAACATTACATCTATTATGAACCAGACGCACTATTAGATTATCTAAGTTCGGGTATAGTTTATGAGTTTGAACGGGGCATTTGGGCTTGGGAAACCCTGCCGGTCTATTTTAACAAGAGCAAAAGGATCAGAGTCAAAGATAGGGAAAGATGAATTATCTTTTTTCTAATGGAAAAAAAATAAAAGCATTAATTAATTAAAAAGAGTAGTCAGGACCTAGAGAGACAAAACCTAACCAAGTAAGGGTGGCAGAAGAGGGTCAGGGGTCAGGGTAAGCCTGAGGCAGAGACTTTAAACATCAGGGTCATATAATATTATGAAAAGAAAGAGAAAATACAAAGGATACATTGATAAAGTACCCTACATTTTCAGAGAGTCTAGGAATCATAGGCTCTTCAGAACCCTATTCAACTAGGTTTATTTATTTACAGTAATTTTCCTCAGGAGAAAATATTTATTTACATGTCACATTCACAGCTCAATGTGGAAGAATGTGAGGTATATTTTGAGCCTTACTGTATTCATTTGTAAGACTGACTTGTCATCTACTGCTAACACAACTATCAGACCTTTTTTGTTTTTTCACTCCAACTTTCAATCACCTTCTTCTTCTTCCTTTGCTTGTTACCAGAGAAAGATTGTAACTTGGCACCCATTCAATCACCTTCTTCTTCCTTTTCTAAAGTTGAAGTGGTGAATGACTGAATGGTTATTTGGAATGAATACTTTGGCTAGAGTTTAACCTTTGCACTATTTACATACTGAGTATATTGCTTTAACCTTGATGTTTTATATGTGGAATTAAGTATAATCATATTTATATATTATAATCGTCTCAATAGTAAGGAAACTACTTGGACGATAAATAATTTTGTTCAGTTTGATACTCTGGCGTACTTCATAATATTTACATATTCACTCAATTTTCACTTGTTTATATTACTACGTGTTCACCTTATTTTCACTTATTTCAGATTTAATAAATTTAGGTAAGTTCAATTCAGAAAAATAAAATTTTGATTAGTGTTATCCAAGTTTAATTACAACTAAAATAAGTTTTGATAAGTTCTAATAAATTCAAATTAATTTAGATAGGTTCAGATAAGTGAAAATCAGATAATAGAACCCACCCAATTTATCAACTTTTTTTACATTTTATAATTTTAGTTATAAATTAAACTTGGATAACCATCAATTGATATTCTAATGTCCAATTTTTCGTAAATAAAATAAATAAATAAATTGAACAAAAATGATACGAACTATTTTGGGATATAAATACGCTAAGTAAATAAGTAGAGTACTCCGTAAATCCGTAATTACTGATGACTGACAAGTTGACAATCTTGAAACTAAAGAATGGATTTGTCGGTTCACACTCATCTTCTATAGATTTTCTAAAATGATGATCTGGTGTAGTACTGTACTCGTAGTGTTAATTAAAGCTGATTTCAATAACTAAATAAGTACAGTATTACATTTACTTCATGTAATTTTGATTGTTTTTTTTTCTTCTCTAATTGAATACTTTAAACATACGGAATATTCATGTTGACTTTAGCCCTATTTGGTAATTAGCTGTTAACTGGTTGATATACCCTATTATATTAAATAGTTTGACTAGCTAATTATATTAGATGATTTGACTTAGCTAGTTAAAAGTGTTTGATAAACAACTGTTTATTATTACCTGTTTCAGTGTATTTAATACTAAAAAAGCTAATTGTTCAATAAGCTAATTTTAAAAGACTTTTATAAAGAGCTTTTTGACTCCAAAAAACTCTTTTAATAAACTATTTACCAAACACCAAAAATTAGTTTTTTAAAATGGTCAAATTTCTAATAGTGTTCAATAACCTAAAAGCTTATCAAAAAGCTCTTTACAAATTAAGTCTTATATAAGACATGTTTATGTTAATTTTATTATAAGACAGTTAATCTAAGGGTAACTTTAAGATGTACTCCCTCTATTACTATATTAGTCCTAATAGAGCAAGTAAATGGGAACAAAGGGAGTATTTATGTTCAAAGAATAAATTATTTATAATTTAACTTATAACAAAATTATGGAATTATATATTAAAAAAAAAGCATGCACTTAAAGGTGTAAATATTTTTTGATCAAAACAATTGTTTTCTTGATCTAAGATACGAAGAACATTTTTTTTTTTACCCCCATTGGTATTATTTTCTTACAAAAGGAAAACACTTTTTATAAAAATCGTAATTTGTCTTAGTCAAAAGTATCTTACTAATAATTGTAGCGCTCTAATTAGTGTTTAAAGTGATAATGTGTGTCAGGAGTACTTCTAAAGCATTGCTTACTTGCTTAGGAGAATGAAGAGAAGATTTAGACAAGATTATGTGACAAATTTATTGAAATCATTTAGATGATTAATCGATTAGAGTATTTGCCGATAATTCTATAATTTATGCTACACATTGATTACAAATTTTTAACTAAGACTGTCATAAACAAAGCTATATTGATTCAGCTGATTTTCACATATATAAACTTATTAAACTTATTTTAATTGTAATTTAAACTGTTTTTTTAGAAAATTATTAGCTTATCATAATTATGTTTTTTTTTCTTTAACTTATCTAAATTTATTATCTCTGAAATAAGTTAAAATAAAGTGAACAGAAAAACCATTATATTTTAATTTTGTATTTAAATAACAGAAATTATATCTCCATCAGCCTGACTAAACACAACCTAATTCTAGATAGGAAATATATTTCGCTGTCCAAAAGTATTACTGTTTTGGGTTTTGAAAGTCAGACTTCCAGTTATGGATGAATTTTTATTTTCATTTTTAGAAAAGCTCTTTAGCTTCAACGGCTGTACTTGATATGAACATCACTCATTGCACATTAAAATTTACAACTGATGATTAGTTTCATGCTCCTAACGGTTTTTGACTTTTTTTTTTTTTTAGGAAAAAAGATCTTTGTTCAACGTTCTTTTACGGAGAAATTTTTTTTTCTTATTTTTTGGATGAAAAAAGATCTTTGTTCTACGATCATGTAATTTATCAATTCTTTCTAAAAAAATAAAAATAAAAAATTCATGTAATTTATCAAAAAGGAATTTTCTAATGTATTCATTATCAACTAGTATAAAATTATTCTAACAAATATAATTAGAATCTTTTCAGAATTTACTAGATTACATTAAATGGGTATGTAAGGTAATAAATTTAACAAATTTTTTGTTAGGGTTTACTATTCCTTCCAATTTAATTTAAGTCCGGTTCACTTCACCTTATTT